CTCAAAGACCCCGACCGGCGCCAGGCCGCCCTTGAGACCATCGTGCGTGGCGAGATGACGCTGCAGGGCCCCGTCATGCTGAAGCAGGGCTTCGTGGGCGTTATCCCTCGGATGCCGATATTCATCCAGAACGTGTCGGACCCCCACGAGACGTTTGGGTGAGGGGCGGCCGCCCCCAAAACCCCAAACCCAAACTTCAAAACCCTAAACCCTAGCGCGGCAGCAGTGCTAGGGGTGCACGCCTCTAGATCCTGTGCGAAACCAAGGCCCATGAACTTCTTTTGGGGGGGAGGTGCCTCAGGTCGCAGCAGGCGTGCGACCGGACAACACAGCACGCCCGTACAGGATGCCTGCGCGTGCCCTCAGGCCGACGCCACGTCTCCGCTGCCTTTTGCCGCGGCGCCCTCACACCCTGTTCCTTGACGCCCGCGCTCTCCGCCGCAGTGCGCCCAGCGAGGCCTACAACTGCAGCGCATGGTGGGTAGCGCCGCGGCCGCGAGCTCGGGCCGCATCGCGGGGTTAGCCAGTTGCTGACACCGCATTGCTTTTGTCGTCATGCCTTTCCTTGTTGGAGGGTTGTTTGTGTAGGCTTGCACTGTGCGCGTTGCTCTCGTGCCGTTGTCAGCAAACACAGCAGCAGCAGGGGCGGAAATATTGGTTTTTGCGGCAGCAGCGGCAGCAGCGGCAGCAGCGGCAGCAGCGGCAGCAGCGGCAGCAGCGGCAGCAGCGGCAGCAGCGGCAGCAGCGGCAGCAGCGGCAGCAGCGGCAGCAGCGGCAGCAGCGGCAGCAGCGGCGGCTGCGGCAACGGCAGCGGCGGCAATCGCAGCGGCGCGGCGGCTGTCATCCTCCCACGGGCCGACCGCGATATGATCCAGACGCCTGGTGCCCCTCTGCCCTCCACCCCCATCCACTCTGCAGCTACAACCCCAAGACCAAGACCCGCTTCTGGGGCTTTGTCACCTGCATCATCTCGTTCGACGCCATAACGCGGCCCCCGGACCGCGGCGAGGCCGGTGCGGCGGCGGCGGCGGCGGGCGCAGGCGCCGCCAAGGGGGGTGGGGCTGGTGGCGGCGGCGGCGTGGACGGTGTCGGCGGGTCGCTCGGCGCGCTGGATACAGCGGAGCACATTGCCAGCCACGCAGGGGGCGCCGGCGGCGCGGGGTCCAACATTATGCTCGCCAGCCTGCAGCAGAGGGTGAGCCCTGGTTTTCAGCGGGATGAGGGGGGCGGCAGGAGGGGAGTTGAGAGGCCCCTGGGCCACAGACTCGCCCGATGTCCCCATCATTTTGTGCTGATTGCAGCTCTGCGGAATGCCAGCCGCACCGCAGCCCCCTCCCGCCCGCCCGTAGTCTGCCTGCGCCACACACCCCACTCGCTCCGCGCGACGCAGCCCCCAGCCTCCCGGCCGCCACCCTCAAATGCCGCCGCTGCATTGCGTGGCTTCCCAATTTCATGGCCCCAACCCCGTTTCTTTCAAACCTCCAGGGATACAACTATGCCCTCATGGCGCCCCAGCCCGGCGGCTCCACCCTGCTGATCGCCCAGACCCCCGACCCGCCAGTCAACCCCGTGTCCGCCACAGTTCACACCGTGAACTCCAAGTGGACGCTCCACGTGTCCCCCACCGCCGGCTGGATGCCGCCGTGGCGCAACCCGCTGCTCGCGATGGTGATCGTCATCAGTTTAGTCATAGGGCTCATGCTGACGGCGCTGCTGGTCAACCGCCGCCAGCAGGCGTGGCTGGTTAGTGAGCTGAAGGTGAGTCATGCTCCAGGCCGCGCACATGCAAGGGTCTGCTGCCCCTGCTCTTTTGACCTATGACGGCCAGATCCACACCATTGTTGAAATCATCAGCACCTGAGCAATTTGGAAATGTGGCTTTCGAAGCAGTAGCACAGGGCCTTGTTCCGCTTCCTGGGGAGCTAGTTCGATGCCTTCGAGCTTACTGTCCCTGCACCTAGCACCCATGGCATCCCCTCCTCCCTGCCCCTTCAGCACAGCTGCGCGCCTTTCCCTCTACTCCGGCCCGCACTCATCTGCTCCCACCCCGGGTCACCCCCGACTACCCCAGAACCACCCCTCACCACCCCCAAATCACCCCTAACCGCCCCACAC